ATGAAGGTTGCATCGTGGTCTAGATTCACGCTAGTGCTCGGAACGAATGGAGGAGGTGCGTATGACACCTGAACCCTAGTTGGGCATGTGGTGTTGATGACAGAGAGACCGCTAAAGATATTCGAACGGGATATATATATGTAGAAACACAAGTGGTAAAGGTACCCCTGTGTACCTCATTTGTACCTCACCCTTACTTATGTTGTGGTTCACAAAAGCATTTCATTAAAATGAAACAATTAATAAAATGTGATGGACTTTTGTAAATTACAACTTAGGGGATGGGGTAGAAATGAGATACCAAATGGGTACCTCTAGCCAGTGGCGGAGCCAGAAAAATGGGTCAGGGGGGTCGAAAATCAATTATGTATAAAATGAAAATGGTAGATCGTTTTGAGACAATGTCCGAGTTGAATGTTTCATTTGTAGTTTAGATAAATAGGCATTCATAAATAATAAGATAGATTGTCTTTGCTCTGTTTCTGAATCATGTCACATAAATAATGAGTTAATTATATGTTATTTTTAAAATTTGAAAAAATAATCAATATTATGCATCAAAATTTCCTTATTTTACGTTTAGAAGGTGCCGATTTTCCAGAAGTCATAACTTTTTACTCGTAATGAGTTACAGGGGCCATAATATATCAAATCGAAGATATTTCAGAGCTCTATACTCTTAAACTTTCAGCGGGGTCGGCTAACCACCCTGACCCCCCCTTGGCTCCGCCCCTGCCTCTAGCAAAACTCATATAGAAATGTTGTCATAGCTATGCATCTTTTATGTTTTTATTTTTGCGAGTGAGTATGATGTTGTAAGTCAACCTCCTAATCTTCTACTCCGTATCTCTCAAACCACCAATGGCATCAGGATTCAGGAATCCCTCAAAAATATGGCAACTTCCATGCGGATGTTTTTACTTGGACTATAATCTGTCCAGATCAGAAAAATTATGATGAATTCAATTCTCGAATTTTGTAAAAACATTCAATTGAATCAATTTGTATGTTACTTGTCATGTCAGCATGTCACCCCCGCTGACGTGGTGCACGTGTGGCAGCCCAATCGACAATAATTTTGATGGCGTGATACACATGTGGAAGCCAGTCAGCCATTTGCTGATGACGTGGCGCACATGTAGACCATCATGTGTGTGTCACGTCAGCGGGTGACCTGCTGACATGACAATGGATTCAATTTAACATTCTTACAAAGTTCGGGGATTTGATTAATTTTTTTTAAAGTACGAGGACCTAATTGATTTTTTCATGAAAATACGAGAACCAAATTGACAGTTTTTAATTTCCTAAATTGGTTGTTTAGAAGAAGATAATAGACTGATAGAAGAGAGAGTAGTTAGGGTTTTACTCTCATGGCCACTCCAAGGAAACTTTCACCGGTATTTTTTTTATCTCAAAAATAAGTTAGGGTATCATACTCGGAATAAATTTTAATGGTTTGGCCGTGATTTCTTTATTTATGAATATCTAAATTGCTCCGTCGTGATATTTCAATTGATCAACATGAATAAGGTATGATACTTTAAGGTGTCAATTTAGTTTTCCTTAATTTTTAGCCATTTCTTTTGATAGACAATCTCAACTCAAATCGGTTCAAATTAAAGTATTATTCGATTAATGTCAAAATAATGTACTCATTGTGTCAATTAGACTTTGAGCTTCACGATATATACTACGATAGCACAAAGGTCAAAGGTTTGTCTCTTGATCATGCATCACTAAAATGAAGGGATTTATACGCTGAATAGAAATCTTACAAAAAAGGATCAATTTGAGAGTCTGTCACCAAGTTGATAGAAAGAAAGAAAGAACGAGTTTGGGCAAAAGAAAATTTAAGAGGCATTGTGAAGCCAAGTTAATCATAGTTTTGACTCTCAATAAGAGGATCTAACCATGATATTCAAAAGACTTCAGTATCATATCATAACTCTAGGTCAAGAAATAGTGTCTCTTCCATTCTTAACATTCATTTTTTAGACGGTAGATATACGTAGAGAATCATGCTGGATTGCATTTCACCGTGAAGAATTTTACTCAACGATTATTTATTTAATCCTTATACAAGAAAAAAAATGAAAACAAAGGTTAATTTCATTGGATTATATACTCCATATCTTATAGTAGTTTCTTTAAAAGAAAATAGATTCTTTTAGCGTATGAAAATAGAAGTTTTAGGAATACACAAAAAGTTATTACAGATAAACCTGAGAGGTTGTTGACATTATTATATATTTATATTGGTAAGGATACTCTCTACATTTTGTGTCAAAATATCCTTCGTGAATGAAAGGACTATCTATTTGGTGAAAATTGGAAAGTACTTTACATTTATTTGAGGAGTTTGACGGAAGAGAGGGAGGGTGACAATATTTACTTTTTAATTACTTTTATTCTTAAAAGATAAATAAAGAGAAAATGTTAGATAAGAATCATAAAATTACATGATTTAAATAAAGAAGCCGTTATTTATAGGATTTCACGATATTAGTGTGAAATTTACTATTCAAGGAGGAAGATGCATGGGAACCACGAGGGAGGCTTGACAAGGCGCTGAAGTTGACACAATTATGGGAGGTCTTGGCTTCGATCTGGGGGCGATTAAAGGTGTTTTGATTCAATGAAAGCAAAAATCAAAGGTTATTGTTTTCCTTTTTATCGTGAAATGGATATGTTTCATGTCATTGGATATGGTCCTGCATTTATGATAAACCCTTTCGCGGCGTTGTAGTAAAACGAAGTCTAACCTTTCGGTTTTCCCCGGAGTATCGTGTCTCTTGAGGAATGACGGAGAAGATTCTTAATTTAATTTTAGTCACGAGCTATCGCTAATTGTTGGAAGCTTTTTCAATATAGGAAAGTGATTGTGTTCTAAATTATGCCAATTTATAACTAGGAGCAAGATTCAATTTAAAGATTAAGTATTCTAAAGATTGATGCAAATAAGGGCAATGAATTGAGTAATTAGAAATGGATTTATTCTTGGACCTATTAATTAGGGAAATTAAAACTAAAATTGGACAAATAATTTCTTTCTCATAGACAAGGATAGAAACTATTTTCATTAATTTATCCTATTTCTAGGTGTCATTAATGTGTTTAAAATGGTTGGATTAAATTAAATTCTTATCTCATAGACAAGGTAGAATTAATTTTCCAATATTTTAATTAATAAAAATAGCCAAATTTGTTAACTAGTTAAACTCTTTATTTAAGCAATTGAATTTATTTCTCATAGACAAGATGTAAATCCCTATAATTAAATTATCCTATTTCTAGGCCTTATTAATGTGCTCTAATATGGTTGGTTTAAATTATTTTCTAATCTCATAGATAAGTTATAAATAATTTTCCAAGAATTTAATTAATGAAGATGGCTAACAATTATTAATTACTAATTCATCATTTTAAACAACTAGTCCAATTTATTAATTTTAATCCCTAATTTTCGGTCAACAAGTCAATCCATATTCCTTTTCTCACTTCATGCCCAAACAATTTTAGCTACTAAACATCATTTTTACAATTAACAATATAATGAATATATTGAACATTAACAAGGAATTAACATGGATGATAGCAAAAATTAAACAAAGCTTATATTCTGGAACAATAAACTTGTAGGAACTAAAATATAATTTTTTGGAATTTTTCACGAATTAATAAACCTAAAATCAAATTTTAACAACTAATTGATAATTTTCCCAATTTTAACTAGAAAATGCAAAAACCAACTAAAAATACTCTAAATTCGTACTAAATTTTATATGAACTAGTAGTAGTGATATTTAAGTTAACTAAACTGGAATTAGGACCATAATTTTTTTTTCTTTTTGATTAATGCAATAATAACAACTAATTACCCAAAATTAATTAAAAATTACCTTTTCTTCGTGAAAATTAACTTTCTTCAGATAAAAAACTACCTTGAGACTAGTGAACAACTATATAATTAATTGGAATGAATTCAACATCAACAACTATTTTATTTAATTTTTGGAAGTAAATGTGAAATACTTGAAAAATAATCTGGAAATTTTCGAAGAACAGATCGAACAAACAAATCACAGATTCAAATTCTACTCGTTGAGAAGATGCAAATGCATATAAAGAACTTACAACTTAGAAGATATGGAGGTTTGAACCTTTCTCTCTCTACTTGCTCTTGGAGCTCGAAAATTAAAGAAGAAGAAGCCTTTTTCGAACTGATTTAGGGTTAGAGATGGTGTATTTGAGATATGGGAAAAGCAAATAGCCCGAATTTCACCGCATGCTTCACAAGGGCGGCCGCCTGCCATTTCAGTCTGGCCGCCCTCCGTCAAATCTTACCGACCGATCGTTGTCTCTGTCGCGTTGTGCCGCAGGCGGTCACCGAGGGCGGCCGCCTTCCGTCCGGTGTCGGCAGCCTTCGGTGTTTTCCATTTCCGGTCAAAATTGAATTTTGACTTTCCAAAAATAGCGTAGGCGGCCGGAAAGGCTGTCATTTCGGGCGCCTACTTGACAACATTTGAGATAATTTGACTGTTTTGTTCTGTATTTTCTACTCTTCAAAATTGTCTTCTGGACCACTTTGATAAAATGCTTGCTTCCTCCAGTATTAATTCATTTGTTACTCAAATTGACTCATTTTGTGCTCAATTGACCCGGAATTTCGTCAAACATATTATGAATGTGATTTTTACCTGATTTCATGAAACTTCAACCAAAATATCTAAAACATGCATTTTCTTTCTGTTTTCATTCAAAAATCGCTTAATTTTGATATAAAAAAAAATAAGTACAAAAATGGACTTATCAATTTACGATCAAAATATTGTAGTGTTGCATTATCTAAAATCTGATAATCTATCTTTGAAAGTTTTATTAAATTCTTTAGAATTTTGGATCCATGTTGGAAATTACCAGTGGGTTATTTGACCCTACAGATGGCAAAATTTATTAGCAACTCCCTAAGAAGGTTTATTAAGCTTGATGAGAATCAACTTGAACAGATGTGTGGAGGGCTTACTTGAAATGTCTTTGGATATAGGGAAACTCTTGAAAAAGAATATGAAAATGCAAAAGGCAAATAGTGACTCTTTTTGGATGAATCTATTTCAACTCCTCTTTTTTGCCAACGTCAGTCAAGGGTTTCCATTTCGTTGTCCTTCTCGAATCAGGTAAGAATCTATTCCTCTAGAGGTCTGGTTTCGTTTGTATATGTATTTCAACAACAGAAACGAAACACTCTCTCTGCGATTGCGTTTGTATACGCTGGTTATCTCGTCTTTCTTCTCTGTGCTTAGTTATAAGGCGACTTGATTTGTAAGAAGGCAAAGACAGGTTTTGGACAATTACGTTCTTCAATTTCTGTCTTCCTCTCTCAAATTTGGTTTTCATTTTTGTGCAAGTAAGACCTGGGATTTACCATACTTCCTAAAATGCTATGATTGCAAATTTTAATAATTGCTGGGATGATTTCCCTGTTTTTCATATCCGGTCAAAAGCCATAGATACGCACTTATAGACATATCTATCATTGTAAATTAGCAATACAGCTAAATCTTCATTGATAAATTTATGTGTTTGTTCAGCTTTTCATTTACACAAAGAATAACATTCGGTGTAAATTTTAACATGTGTTGGGATTGTAAATTAAAAGTACTTTAATAAGTTTTCCATCCTAAAATTATGTGTAAATTAAAATGCTATGATTGCAAATTGTAATATGTGCTGGGATGATTTCCCTGTTTCGTAAAAATGAACTGGGCTTTGATTATTGTTAATATATTATTGGCCCAAATAGCCTTTGTATATTAATAATAGTTGACAACCTATTCAGCAACCCACTACTCTTACTCCAGTTACCAGACTTGGGTTATTTCTCCTAATTTGAATCTGTCCAGATTCATTATTTGAGCAAATAATGTGATGTGTGTGATTGAGTGTCCCTGCATATTGCCAACCCATGTCAACCCATACTCCTCTAGCTAATAAGCCAAACTCCTCTGTTCCATGTTGACTTCCTAGCATGTGCAATTGTTTTTGAGAGGCAACACCTTCTTCCATTTCCTCTATCGGTGTGCTGTATATATCTATCTATCTTTAGACCTTTGAGAAGTGTGGTGAGAAAATGAGAAACCAGCTCTCTGTGAAGCTGAGTAAGGTAGTGAGGAAGGTAGAATAGGTTGTTGCTCCCTTAGCCTTGGTGTGCACAAGAGACCGCCGGAAACCGACCTCCGGCATACCTGAGCCGAATCCGGCAAGACAGAAACGGATTCACAACAATTATAATACTAATAGTAACAATTTTAGTATCAATTTTAAGGGGTTAATTAATGGCTAATTGATTAGCAATATGTTTTTATTTGTAAACCGGCATTTCTGAAAAATGTAAGGAAGATTATCTTTATATGATTTATAACATTTATTTAAGATAGAGAGAGGAGAGCTCTCGCTTCTCTCTAAAGCCTAGCGGCCTTCTCCCCTCTGTTGAGATTTTCCACCGTCTGGGATTGGAGCGGCAGATTATTCTGATATTAAGTGTTCTGATGCTTGGGATTACAACTATGTCGGAGGAGATAACACTGGTGGATGAACGGATTGCAGATGAGATTTTGTATCGGTGTTGGGTCATGAAGTCTTAGTCGGCCGTTTCGACGATGGTTGAGTTTGTATTCATACATATTACAAGAGATCGTCCTTCTCCAGAACCACCTCCATACCAGGAAGAGTGTTGCGGAAAGAATTTATTGCAATATTATTTTCTCTTTAGTAGTGTTAGTTTTAGTTTTAGTCAGAGTGGATTTGGTTTAAATGTTTGGATTTTTGGAGTTATTTTGATAGACAGGGTTTCCGATATGTTCGTTTTAGGCTTAAATTTGTCCGTTTCAGGTTTAGCGAGTCAGGTTGCTTTGTATGAGGTGACTGATTCTATGTCTACTCCTAGGGTTCACGATTGAATCTGTAAAATCTGTCTGAAGATTGTCTTGTATGCGTTCTTGATTTTAATATAAAGTCGGATATAAAAAAACATTTATTTAAGAATTTGTGCTATTTTGTTAAATAAGTAGCACATAAATCGGGCTGCGTTATTTTGTGCTTATTTTTCAGTGCTATTTTGTACTTATTTTTTAGTAGGTACAAATCTGGCTGAGTTTTTTTCCGTATTAATGTTAATTATTTAATTAATTACGGAAATAATGCTGGAAAAAAAGTATTTACCAAAATACTGCTGGCCCTTAACCACGGTCAGGGGTAAGTCGCCCAACGGTTGGGCGACTTACCCCTGAAATATGGTTGAAGGCGAGCAGCTACTGCCAGCCAGGCACGATCGTGCCTACAAGGGTAGGCACGATCGTGCCTATGTCCGAAAACAACATTTCATCAGGTTTTTCGCCTCGGTTCAACCCAGACTCATCTGTTTGCTATAAATAAGGTCTCCCTTCTCCTGTTAAAGTATTACGAACTAGATACAACACATTATAAAACATACAACACACGTCGTCACAATGACCTACTCTCAACAATATTAAAAACACCTTATAAACACCCGTAAAAACCTTCAAATCATAACCGGAATAACACAATACAATCATCATATATGCCATAACAAGTAATCATCTAATATTCATACTCGAACACATCAATACACCATACAATACTTAACAAGACAAAATACATCAAAACTTGTACATTGTTCGTACAACATCTACTGCATAAGAAAAACTACAATACAAAATACAAACTACAAGTTCTAATCATCAGCTTCGTCATGGAGATGTTGCTGCTCACGTCTACGCCTACGGCGTTGTCGTGGTTGAAGAACCACTCTCTCATGTTGCGTCTGGGATGATGATGCCGCGGCTGCACTAGACGTGGATGCCATCTCCTGAGATGGGGGCATGTGTATAAGATGTCCGTAGTCTACTCGGCCCAACACATCTGAGCACAACGAGGCAATGCCTGTCAGAGCCTGTCCATACATGTCCACATCAGGAATATCAGTCACAGTGGCAGTAGCCCGCTGATGTATGCGCTGCAAAGCTCGTGTCTGAAATATGAAACACAATTACAATTACATTCAAATACATACAAATATTACATAAATAAAATGACTTACTTTACTAATTACTAATATACTCACCGTAAGATGCAAAGCCAAGGAGCTAGGTTGATAATGATGAGTAGGGAGTCTGAACGAAGGAGACACAAATAACCGAGTGATGCTGTAGTACCATCCCATGTAGTCTCCTGAAACAGATGGCACATATGTGGGTGTCCCAACCACAGCTAGCTCAGCTCTCCTTTCCCACATAGTCACGTATCGGACATGTCTGAGTGCCCAATCCTCTGTATGCTTCCCACGCCTATCCAGCTTATGCAGCTCTACATAAGTGTCGATAGGACGTGGAACGACCTGCTCAAACCCAAACTGTCGCATGACTCTATCAGGCAAATGCAGCTCAACAATGTCAAAACATATCAACGGGACACGTGCTCGCCAGATGTGAGTATGCTCTCGTCCAGCTGGGGGCAACTCTGCTAACATATCAGGTCTAAACGGCATCCATGTGATCTGTTTCATAAACATACAAAATTAGTATTTATTCTACACCTATTCTAGTTAATGTTATACTACATACACCATACCTGGTCCTCAGACATCCGATCCAATGCATCCCTGTAGACACCGAGCCCAGTAGCGGATGACATGCGAGATAGACCAGCATATAGCCACCTAACCATTCATGTAACAATATCAATAATATGGATATTATTAATTTATTAACATTCAACAAATACTCACATAAATACAAACGATTGAAAACATACCGACGGCCTAGAGGGTCCTCGCCCCGTACATGATGTGGTCCTAGCAGACGTGGAGGCTCATCAGGCAGTGGCTGTCCATCAATGCCATGATATCCGACTATAATGGGACGACCAATGTGGATATACTTCCATGACCAAATCTGGAGGAGTAGCAAAAATCCCCCCAGCTCTGTGCTCCCTCTCTAGCAGCCGCGACACAGCTGCCTGTATAGATAAGCCAGGGTGGCACTACCCCAGCTGAACTGTGCTGCTACATCAAACCTCTCCAGCAAAGGCAAGTGTAGCACCTGAACCTTAATACGGGTCGACTTTGGTCTTCCCTTTGCCCGAAGCATGGATGGATCGTGCACGATTTCGGGTCCATTGTAATTTGGCCAATAATCACGATCAGGAATCGGTTTGAACACCCTATGATATGTGGCGGCGTATTGGTCAGATGAGAAGAACTTATCCACAAAAGGAGCATAAGACAAACTACGTTGTCTACACACGGCTAATACATGAGAGCATGGAATTTTGTATATCTGCATCTTTTTACAAGTGCAAGTTTTCCGTTGTAGGTGGACAGTTTGTTTTCTCCCACCCTTTCCCAACGTTCGGCCACCACAACCGGTTTCCACCTGAAATATACCTCTCCCTAAATCAAATGGAGTGACAATGTGATGTTTTGCCTTCTCTCTATTTTTTTCAATTAAATCTGTGATGTGTGGGGAGTACTCGTGGCCTTGTGTGAGCCTCAATTTACTGCTTTCACGCCTATGCACAAAATAGGCATTAACCCGGTAAAAAGACACCTGGACCAACGCGGTAATGGGCAAATATCTAGCATTTTTCATGACGCTATTGAAAACCTCAGCTAGATTTGAAGTGATGGTACCGTATCTGTACCCGCCATCGTGGTGCAGCGACCACATTTCTGGAGGAATGTTGGCCAAAAAATGGCGTGCATCCCTACTCATTTCACCTATCTTCTTGAGCCCACCATCAAATTTTTTTTCTGATGTTGCCGTGCGGTCCACACAAAAAGATTTTTTAAATGAATGTCTTTAAAATGAGTATGCACATTAGATGCAAGATGGCGGATGCAAAGTCTATGATGCGCATAAGGCTCCTCCCATGTACTGCCCACCTCATTCATTGCCCTGAGAATACCTCCATGTCTATCTGAAATGACACACAACTCCCTGTCAGTCACAAACTGCCTAATACATGCCATAAACCATGGCCAACTATCTCCATTCTCGGATTCAACAACTGCAAAGGCGACTGGGAAAATTTGGTTGTTCGCATCACAACCCATGGCCACGAGCAATGTACCCTTGTACTTTCCATACATGTGTGTGCCATCAATAGTAAGTACGGGTCGGCAATGCTTAAAACCAGATATTGATGCCTTAAATGCCCAAAAAACTCTTTGAAACATCATATAACCTGTGGAACCATTGGGGGGTGGGTACCACTGAACAACAGTTCCTGGATTAGAATGTTGGAGCGCTGTCATGAAACGGGGCAATTCGAAATATGACTTTTCCCAACCGCCAAATATTTGTGCTATGGCCTTTTGCTTCCCCATCCATGTTCTCCGGTAAGACACCGTATACCCATATTTTTCCTTCAACATCTCGATGATAGTATGCACTTTAAGAGAAGGATCAGTGCGAATAATGTCAACCACATCTTTACAGATGAATTCTGATGTCAAGGCCACGTGATCTGTAGTGTCGATGTTGCCTACACAAGAAGCGGAATGAGGTCCAGAATAACGCACAATTGTGAAGGTGTCAAGGTTGCCTTTGTTCTTTGTGGCGCGTATTCTCCAGGGGCAATGACATTCTTTCTTCCTTTTGCATTGTGCCACCCATTTGTGTTTATCGGACTCTATCACCCGATAGAATTGGTTCCGTTTGATAGAATACAAGCTCACCATATTGATGACTTGTTCTTTGTTGTCAAACTGTTGACCGACCTCAAACTCACCATCGGGGGTAAACCTTTTCTCACCTGATCCACTCATCCACGCATCAGTAAAACCTTCAGGGAGATCATACATTCTAGTAAAATGGCTAGACGGGGCAGTTGACGTCACTGTATCACCATCATCTTCATCAGATTCTGTCATGTCATCACCATTGATGTTGTCGTCTGCATCATCATCACTTCCCTGTCCATCCACAAATGATGCACCGTTGTGCAAATACCTACCATCCTCCTGTATAACCATGTCTAGTACAGGAGCCTTTGAGGAGTTCCCTGCATTCACCCCTGCATTGACATCATGCCTATATAAAACAGCATTTGATGTTGATTGAGTACCATAAGTGTCACTGGATTCCTCAATGTATATCTCCAGTGTTGACATATCCTCCATCTGAATAATGCCCCACATATTAGTTATAGCTAGCTCATCAATGAGCGGCATAAGCATGTACTTTCCCCCGTTCATGGGAAATTTCATTTTCAACCGCAATGAACGGCCGGGATGAATCATTGTGGTTGCATGTATTTTTTGAAGGATCTCGAGCATGCAAGCTCCACGAGAAACCATGACAAAGCTGGTTCTGCCACCTTCATGGCATATTTGCCCACCATTTTCATAATAGTTCCCTCCCCAATGACACACGAGTGGGAAGCTTGAGAAATCCATATTCTAATAACAATTCATTGTCCAACATTCATGAGTACGCATCAATATACACACTTTATACACATTCAAATTTTTTAATATAAAATGCTTCCAAAATTGTAATATATCCTAAAATCCAAATTCACAAACAATTCACATTCCAATAACAAACAACCCAAATTTTGATATCTACATTCAATGTCTACCTTGGAATACCCAAATTTAGGTACATTCAACTCTACCCAAATGCCCAAATGTCAAAATACACATTACAATTTACAAACAATTTAAAATCAAATTTCAACATTTCATACATATCCACATTTCACAACAACTGAATTTACAATCAATTCATAATCCAAAAATTCTATCATTTCAAAATTCAAAACCCTAAGTTCAAAATGAGATGAAATGGATTTGGATTTACCTAGAAAAAGGATGAAAGAGTGTTGAAGAGGATGGAGATGAAGGTTTGTCGGAGTGGTGTCGCCGGAGATGGAGGTTCGCCGGAGTTGGAGATGGCCGGTCCTTCGTCGGTCGTCGCTCGTCCTTAGTCGCTGCAGAGAAGCTCTCGAATTGGGGTGGGTTTAGTGTTTAACGCGTTCTGTTTGTGGCTGTCTGCGAGAA